GTGTGCATTTTGAATTTTCTATATATTGGGTAATGATTCAGTCCTTTTAGACTGAGAATTGCTCTCCATCCCCCCAAGCTCTTTGGTATGACAAATGGTACTGAATAAAATCCATGCCCCTGCTGATTTTCTGGAACTGTCGCTGTCGCCTGTATTAACAGTAAATGCTGAATAGCTGCATCCATAAGATTTCTCCTGGTTGAATCTTTTGAGGTTGGGCAACGGATAAAGAAGTTCGGGGGTTTGGATTGAAATTCTAGGGATAAACTGGACCTTGTCGTGTCTAGCACCCAAGCATCCATTGTTGTTTGCTCCCATTGGTCTACGAAAAGGCTTAGTCTGCCACCAATGGGAGACTCGGTATGGTAGTCATTTGGGGCGATGGAAGGGATGGTTTCCAGTCCCTCGAAAGGAGCGCTCGTTTTGTGTTTGGGGCTTGTTCTTGTCCCCAAACCCCTGGGACAACTGAAAGTCCTGCCTCTGACCAAACAACTCTTGAGCTCATTGAAAGGTTGGTCTGTGATAAGAGGAACGAAAGGACCACTGAAAAGATGGTGAAAACCTGTTATCTGCTCTGCGCAAAAGAGAAGGCAGGGTCTTCCTTTTGTCCCTGGTTGCTACCAGGACTGGTTCCAGTGGGTCTCCAAACAGGTTGTCACCTTTATATGGAGCTGACGCCAGCTTCCATCATCGCTTGGTGTCGGCCTGCCAATACTTGAGCCACAGAAGGCGTCGAGTTGTCACTGCCAATGCAATGGCCCTGGAAGCAAACTTCACCAAATTCAGGATGGCATCAGCTGAGTACTCTGCCAGAGGGATCACCTTGTTAAAATCCTGGTGGGTCCTGATGTCACCGGTGGGTACCCTCTCCTGCATTTGGCGAAGCCAAATCAAAGAGGCTGTAGTGAAGTAGGATGCTGTTATAGTGGTCTTCACAGCCCATGCAGCAGCCTGGTATGTCTTACGCAACATCAGCTTGGACTTTTTATCATCTGCCTTGAGGACATCATCTGCATTATTCAGCATATTTGAAGACAATGCCAATGCCAGTACTGAATCGTCCACTTCGGGAAGTTGTAAGGTATCAGCCAGAGGCGTGGCCACATTATAATATTTTTTATCAAAATAAGTGCCACTTGGGTCTAGTGACCCTGGCAAGTCTAGTTGTCGCTGAACCATATTCAAAAAAAGCTTTGGAGAAGGAATCACCTCCTCCTCTTCCATTGGTTCAGCAAACATAAGATCCAAGTGGGTTCTGTAATGCCCAGAGCAGTGTCTGGCAAAACAGTATCCAGATCCAATCTGGTCACGTTTTTGGCCTTAAAAAGTAAAGACCTAAACAAGTGAGGCCTAAAAAGCCCTTTAAGAGCTGGCTTATCTGGGACCCTCCTATCATCCTCTGACAAATCCTATTCAATCTTACCTTCCTCTATTGAGCTCTCAAATTGACTCTGGTCAGAAGAGACTGGAGAATACTGAACTTCAAATTCCGATGGATCTCTTTGAATTTGACAAAGTATCCCTTGGCTAACTGCCCTAGGAAGTCCATATAACATAGGAGCCTGATGGCGGCCTTGCTGAATGCCAGCCATGTAACCCCGTTGGACGGACTCCAAAATCCATCTTTGCACCTCTTGGGGCATGGGTTGGTCATAGTGAACAGTAGACTGAATTGAAAAAATGGGGACCGTTAGGGAGGAAGATGCGTGTTCTCAGTGTAAACAATTCAATCCAAAGAGCAAGCAGACCAGAGTCATCCCACACTGTCTGGATCCTATCAACACCATTCTGGAGAACAATCCATTCAGAAGTGTATAGCATTGAATATTTGAGTAACGTAAGACAGCAAAAAGTTTACACAGTTCAACTAAACTGTGTTGGCCACTGAGTTAGTTTTTCACTGAGATGACTACTCCATGCAGTTTTTTTAACAACGTTTTTTGGAAGTAGTTTGCCATTACTACTTCCTAGGACTAAGAGATGGTGACTGGCCCAAGGTCACCCAAGTGGGCTTTGTACTTAAGACAGGCATAGAATTCAATCTCCTGATTTCTAGCATGGCAGCTTAACTGCTACACCAAATCCTTTTCAAAATAAAAATAATTACTTGACAAAAATATAATGGAATCTGAAATAAAGAAGTTGGACTGCAGGCACTACTACAGGTGGTATCAGTAGTCTTCAATTTCCGCAGTTCAATGTGTGATTAATTTAGGTAACTTATATTTATGAAATGTAAGTGTTAAATGGATCAATGTAGCCTGAAACTGTTAGAATTTTTGAAAGGAAAAATCCCTACTAAAGATAACTGCAAGTATTCTGAAACAGGAATATCTGTGGACAGAATTCAGCTGTTCAGATCCGAAGTGGAGAAAAGGTGGGAATGCTCTCTGTGCCTTTTTTGCAAAGATAAATAGCTGCTGCAAGCCTAATCTAAACAGAAAGTAGATTCATTACAAGAAGGGAACAGCTATAAAATCCCTTCCTTTCAGATCACCTTCTACTTGCCCAATACAATGAATGAGTGAGTGAATGAATGAAATGATACGCAATGAGTGCTAACCAGAAATACAATGAGACAGATCCATGGTTATTATGGAAGCCCCAAATCCCTGCATGGGCATTCTAGGATGCCTCAACACCAAATCTGAGATGAGACTTTAATAAATTTATCAAGCCAGCACAATTACATTACAATAACAAAGACAAAAGAAATTAAAGAATTAAAATAAGATATTTATTTATTGAATCTATATGTCACTCAACTCCCAAGCTCCTTAAATATTGAGAGAGAAGGTGGCAAATGAGACTCCCTGTGAAGGACATTCTGGAGAGAAAGTATACAACTTCTTTCTTTGATGCAGATAAAAAGATAAAACTATTTGAAATATTTCTGTGGGTGATTTCAGATTATTATTCTGGGGAGAGATTTTATGCACTTCTACTAGATTTTATTTGGAGCTATAAATATCAAAATGATATAGGCAGTCCTTGACTCATGACTATAATTGAGCCCAAAATTTTAATTGTTAGGTGAGACAGTTAAGTAAATTTTGCCCCACTTTATGACTTTCTTGCCACAGTTAAGTAACTCACTGCAGTTAGGTGAATCTGGCTTCCCCACTGATTTTGCTTATCAGAAAGTTGCAAAAGGTGATCCCATGACCCCAAGGGCATTGCAAAGTGTCCAAGTTTTGATAAAGTGACCATGGGGGTGGTGCAACCATCATAAGTATGAAAAATAATCACGTTATTCTTTTTCAGTGCTATTGTAACTCTGAATGGTCATCAAATAAATAGTTACTTTTAGGACTACCTGTACATCCTGGATCAGTAGAAATTTTCATAGAGTGGTACGAACAGTCCTTTTCAGAATAGGGACGACCTCCTCTATATTATGAAATTAAAACTAAAGTAAAAGGTGCTGTTCCATGAAATGTATTTCCTAATAAAATTGAATTAGTTCACTAAACATAGAAGACAATTTTTTTTTAAAAAAAGAAAACCAATCTGGTTGATAGTCTGAAATAATATTAAAAGCCTTATATCAATTCTGATGTAGATGTTGCATTGGAATTTAAAACAATTCTAAAACATTAAGTAGAGAATAGAGTTGGTTAAATAGATCTGGTAAACGGAGGGTTGATGACAACAGATTGTGTCACAATTTATTAACAAATAAATGTGAATGTGATTGCAAAAGAATCTGAAATTATGAATAACATAATACAGACATTTACACTTGTGAAGCTCATCAATGTATAAGCCACAATTATCCACATTCTCAAATTATAGTTTTGGGGGATCTTAGGGTAAGAGCTTTTAAAATATACACTAACTGAAATTTACAAACTATACACAAAGAAATATTGCCTTTTTCCTCCTACCCCAAATTACATAAAGCTGCAATAATTTATTTTGTGGGGAAGCATGATTTTTTAAAATTAAAAATTAGTTAGGCTTTTTCTTATAGGGTCCCTATAGCAATTTTTTACAACTAGTCTTTTATATTCACTTTATCACCATTAATGGCCTTTCATATTCACTCAACACATTGATTGTTCTTATGGTTGCTATCATTTCCCCCCATTTCTCCCAGGCTACTCTATTGTTGCTATCACAGTCTTCAAACTCCCCAATAATTTACTGCCTCAATTTTACTCTAAAAATACCATACATATTACATTTCTCCAACTATAAATCTTTCCACTGTTCATTTTCTCCAGTAAGGTCACTCAGTTCTTTCAATTTCTGCTATCCTGGAAAAGTTTCTATTCCTTATATTTTAAGAATTACCATCACTCTACTCTATAAACATCCCCTCACAGAGTATAGCACCATTCAGTTACCACTGAAATTTATGGCAAGTGGTATCTATGCACATTAATCCAGCATCTTTTCTACTTGAAGATAAAGAGATGAAAAATGTTATTTTGTTCTGCAACAATTGCATACATTTTAAACTAATTTTCAGCATAGTAATCTGAGTAATAATAACCATAGTTTTAGTAATATAGTTTTTCCTAATATATTCCTACATCATTACTACTTTAACTGTATGGCTACTTCAGAACAATTACAGATTGTTTTTCTTCTCTGAGCTTCCAGAATGTCAACCAGAAAAAGAAAACTAAATCTGTGCTTTAAATCAGAACCGATATTTGTGACTTCCAATGATGCTGAATGATAAATTCCAGCAGCCCCACCTGTGATTCAGTGGTGCAGTAAAAGTGTATGACAAAAATATGGCAAAAGATAAAGATCAGAGAAAACTCTACAGAAGATATGATAATTCAGTTGAAACATTTCTTCTTTTAGATCCAGTAACTTATTTATAGTTAGACTTCAATGATAATTTACTCTCCCATTCCAAAACATCCTTTCCCACTGTAGTTTCAGAGACAACTAAGCAATGAAACAGTATGTAAATCATTAGCACAGAAATACTGCATTATTCCAAATCAGTTGTAAAAGAATTTTCTACTAAAATTACTACTTACCATGTTAGGCATAACAGGAGCAGGCACTGGTTTCTTGTCCATTGGAAATTGTGGCAAACTGTTAGGTAATACCGGCTTACTTTGCATCTGGGGACCAAGTCCACTGGCTCCAATTGGCTGCCCAGTGTTTTGGCTATATGGCGGGACATAAGGACTGGGGTTGTTCATCATTCCCATCTAAAAATTAAGTAAAAAGTGACAGATCAGTTAAGGATTTTTAATTTTGACTTTCATGGAATATAAAGTAAGCATGAATATTTTAATGTCACAAACTGTCTTTATGTAGTGAATATGTCAGAAATGGTATAGGGTCTCCCGCTTGGGCGGGGGATTGGATTAGATGACCTACAAGGTCCCTTCCAACTCTGACTGTCTGTTATCTGTTACCTAGAATAGCCCTATCTCCTTTCCAACCTTTCATGAATGCTATTCTAATAAGGAATTCTTAAAAACAAAAAAAGCAAAACGATTCATTATTATTAATGGTAATATAGTTCATTTCTAATTCAGTCTTACAAATTTTCCCTAGATAATTAAACTTATTAAATATAATTTAAATTGGTACTATTCCCATTGAAAGAGTTCATAACTGAACATGTATTTGAATGTGCTTCAGTTTGTTATACTCTTTAACTAGATTCTATTAATTGAATATAACTTTCAGATTTTATAGCTTTCAGATTTCAATATCTAGCTTAGACTCCATAAAATGTTTAATCTGATTACATATTAAGACATCATGTAACTTTCATCATGTTCACAGTTCATTACTATATCAAGTCCTCCTCTTTCCCTCAAAATAAAAACTTAGGAGTTTTTACAATTATCTGTTAATAGTGACTAGCAAGTTTATATTATTTCTTAAGTGCATATACATAGAGATAATTTGGTATGGAGGCCAATGTCATCAAACTAGAAACCAGAAGATAGTAAGTTGTCGTTCAAAAAAACATGACTTAAAGCCACAGTTTTTAAACAATGCATGTTTAAAGACTGCATAGAGTCACTGGAGATAGCAAAATGTGTAGCTTATAAATTAAATTGAAAATTTGATTTATACTATCTAGTTCATATAATTTAAGTAATATGTAAATTTTAGGACTTTCAGAGGTGATAACTAACACCTTGAATTGTACCTGGAAGCAAATCAACAGCCAATGCAGCTCCTACAGGAGATGACACATGTGCACATGTGTATTGGCTATTAATTTTCTTCCAGGTACAATTCATGGTGCTAATAGTCATCTTTAAAGACCTACATGGCTTGGCACCAGGTTATTTGAAGGACTATCAGCGAGACGAGGCAAGGAATGTTATGGGTACATCTAGCAAGTACATCTAGCAAGACCAAGAATGGCTGTCTCTTTTTGTAACTCCCTCTCCGTGGAACATCATCCCCACAGAAATAAGACTGGCTTCCATTTTGACACTCTTTCAGAAGGCCCTGAAGACTTTTGGTTTTGCCAACAAGCATGAGGAACCCATCAAGTGGCTTGCTTGACTTCTTGCTATCACCACTTGGGTGGGGTATCACTTTTTATTGTTTTTATGAGATTTTTTTTTATCTTAGTAAGCCATCCAGAATCGCTGAAAATGAGTTGTGTGACCATATAAATTTTCTCAAGTAAATTAAATAAGGTAAATATTATTTGATAATGGATAGGGCTAAAATAGCTCTCATGAATGAAGGCAAAATACCTAAAATACCTCTGTTCATAACCAGAGCAAGTAGATAATTGCATTAATAAATAGGAAAAGAGGTTGTCATGTTAACTTTGATTACAACTTTTGGCATCATGCTTATTATGCTTAATCCTACCATCCACTTTCAGAAGCAAATGGAAGAAGCATGAACATCTGCAGCAGAAAGAATAGGAGGGAGAGCACTAGGAAAGCCCTACTAGTATATAAATGGAACATAATGCACAATCCTTTAGATCTTATCCATATTTGCCCCAAATTATTTCTACAGTCCAAATTACGATCTATAAAACATACTTTACAGTTTCTAGTGTCATAGATTAAACAGCTCTTTGGCATTTTTTATCCTTGATATTATAGATAGGTTGTTACAGATGCAATAGAAAGATTACAAGGACTCACCACATGAAAGAGGGCAGGTGCAGCAACAGATGCTATTGAGTGGCAAGGATAATTGCACTGTTACAATAGAAATTAATTATACCCCAAATCCCCAAAATAAAGCAGTCTTGTTAGCCAGTATTTTATCATAAATTATGAGAGATTCTGCATAATAGATAATTTGCAAATTTACTTTTGAGATTTCATTTTGTGTAAGATTTCTAGAGAGGGAGCATTCCTGCAGTTGTACTGCATTTTGCAGGTTACTGAGATCCCTCCCAAAGAACAGTGTAAATTCAGGAGTGATTTACTAATCTACTACCTCAGAAAAACAGATGGGACCTGGAAGTTTGTAGTAAGAAAAATATACAACTGTAATCACAGCAGTGGCATGACCAGTATTGGTGAAAAGCTTTAAATTCAATTCAAACAACAAAGTAGAATTCAAATGTTTTAGAAGGCAGCCAACTACATTGTTACATGATTCTTAAAGCATGGAAATGTAGACAATTTGTGAATTGCACACTCCTCTATTTTTTAATATTACAACCACATGAAACAAAGTTTATATAAAATCATACTTCCTTCACCATTCCAATGTAATTGAACTGAAAAAAGTATTCTCAGACAGCAAAAAGACAGTACAATATGCACAAATACACTTTTATGAACACTTCTTAAGCATGCACATATTATACGAGGGCTATCCTCAAAATAGATTACGTTTTTGTCTGTAGCAAGAAGAGGCGGAGCTAGCGCGGCCATCTTTGGTCTGTGCGTCCGCCTCTCAGTCTGCATCTAGTTGTGCTAGTGGGAGGTTCGTATCGTTGCCCGTTATTTCACAGCAAACATTTGAAATGTGTGCTGCAATTGAAAATCCCTCGAGTTGTGAGGTGCGATCAGTGATAAGGTTTTTGTTGGCAAAAAACCATAAACCGATTGAAATTTTTTGGCAACTGTGTGAAGTGTACGGGGACAACATCATCACTGAAGGTGGAGTGCATCAATGGTGCATTAAGTTTAAAAATGGCCGAACTACGGCACTCGAGAAGTCCTGAATGCTTTCAAGTGGGAGATTTTTCCTCATCCGCCCTACAGCCGATGTTGCACCAAGCGACTACCACTTGTTTCCGAGGATGAAGACCTGGCTTGGAACACAGCGCTTTGATGCCTGAGATTTGAGCCAGTCACTCCCGCCCGCAGTTCTGCATCGTCGTCAAAGCGCTGTGTTCTAGATGCAGACTGAGCGGCGGACGCACAGACCAAAGATGGCCGCGCTAGCTCCGTTCCCTTCTTGCTACAGACAAAAACGTAATCTATTTTGTGGATAGCCCTCGTATAACTTGTTGCTTGATTATAAGATTAACCATAAATGTTTCCCTTTTGTGAAGATCGAATTATATGTTTGGTTCACAACTGTAAATGTATTTGTCCATGCTTAACTGCATATTAATACCATGTTAATAAGTCTTTTGCTATCACTTCCAAGATCATTTGGAAGTCTCAGTCAGGGGCAGTACATTACATCTGTGTTATGGACCCTGCACTAACTTCCTAGTACAGGGGTGTCAAATTCACATCGTCATGGTGGCATCACGTGACATATTGGGACTTTTTCCCCCCTTAGCTAAACTGGGCATGTGCATGGCTAGCACGTGACGCATCCAGCCTGTGGGCTGGGAATTTGACAGCCCTGTCCTAGTACTATTTAGTCCTTGTAGTGTTAATCTACAAAGCTCTTTATGGTTTGGTATTCAGGACTGCATTCACCCACTAGAATTGGGTGAACATATTCAATCTTGCTGGGAAAAAAGCAGTTAATAGCTTCCCACTTTTACTAGTGTGGGAAGCTGAGGGACAGAGGCACTACTTTTTGTAGCATTCCCAGTCCATTGGAATGGTTTTCTGCTGAACTTAACTTTGCCTGCCTTCTAAAAGGCAGAAGCAGCTGAAAATAGATCTTCCAGATACTTTTCAATTTCTCAGTCAATGTGCACTCTTAAATTCCTTGGAAATCTCCCATCTAAGCCCTGATTTGCTCAGTCCCCTTGACTATCACCAGCTGTGACAACTATGTTTTACTTTTAAAAATATAAGCAATGCTGTGTACTTTTCAACTTAAGAAAAAAAGTTCTACTTAACGCAACTCAATAAAAACATGAAGTTATGTGTCCTGTTTAAATAGTAAAGTATGAAACACATGGCTCACATATTCGAAGTCAAAAGACTGGTCCAATACTTATTATTGTCTATAATTTAACTGTGATGCTATAAATCACACTGCTGATTTCCATTGCCTATTTTATTTAGAAAATGCCTCTGAACCTCAGAGCTAGGCTGAAACTAAAAATGGCATGCAGCTGAGGATAACTTTCTGTTTTGAATCATGTTCAGCCATCTCAGAAACCAAAGAATACATAAGATAAGTTAGAGATAGTGAATCAAGGAAGTTACAGGAAGAATCCTTCAACAGAAAGTTTAAAGGAACAACTTGACATTTTATGATTTTGTGTTTCTTCCTCTACATGCATATATCTGCAGTTTTCTGTGCATCATATATCTATACTTTTTCAGTTTGTCTTTTGTGCAATTGTTATTTTGTTGTGCTGGAACCAAGTAAATGTATTGGCATTTGGACTCACTCTGCCCCAAGTTTTATAGAGTTATTTGGTTAAGGCTTTTTTTACGTCATCATTTTGTTCTACTGCCCCTCAGGACCCTTCAGAATTACTATTTCATTCAAATTCATTAACATCCACACACACAAAATTATTTTTCAGAGAATGACAACTTGCTAAATATAAAGTAAATAATAAAGTACAAGCTAAATCTGAGAAATACAGTTAATGACTTAAGAAGCATTAATTTTTACATATAACTTTATAAGGCAGAGCGTCAAAATCCCAGCCTGTGGGCCAGATGCGTCATGCGCTGGCCACACCCACGCCCAGTTTAGTGAAGGGGAAAAAGTCCTGATAGGTCATGTGATATCGCCATGATGACTTGAGTTTGACACTCCTGATATAAGGCATTTAAAAACTATTTATAAACTGTTTTTATTTATAATACGCTACATTAGATAGTCAAGAATGCAG